TCGAAGACCCTATCAAATGCCACCTTAAATGCTATTTAAGATCGGATATGCATTCCCAGTACGAGACTCTGTCTTACAGCTGGCATAACAACGAGTGGAACGACTTTACCACTGAGCAGAAAAAGTTATATGAGCCATGGGAGATAATTTGCAACGGGAAAAACGTCACAGTCCAGCCCAATCTCTGGAGAGCACTCCAGCGTCTTCGTCATCGAGACCGATCGCGAACCGTGTGGGCGGATGCGTTGTGCATCGATCAGAGCAATGATCGGGAGAGAGCACAACAGGTGCAGATTATGAGCTTGATTTACAGTAATGCTTTACAAACCGTCATCTGGATGGGAGAGTCCAAACAGGCCTCAGTTGAGAAGTCTTTGGACTTGATCTGTCGCATCGTCAATTCCTGGGATGAACGCCATCCTGCAGAATACTGGATGACTGACGATGCTACATCCGAGACTTTGGCTCGACGGCCAACTGGCCCAGTTGCAAAGGAAGATGACGAAAACTTCGCGTTATCAGACCTTTTCCGCCTAAGCTGGTTCCGCAGGAAATGGGTTATCCAAGAAGCCGTTTTGTCTCGATCCTGCGAAATCATTTGGCAGAACTGCAGTATATCTTGGTACTGGGTAGGACTCGCCGCCGCGATCATCAGAAACCAAAATATTGAGAACTTGTTTATTAGTGAACCATCAAATACGGGTATATGTAATGCATATCTCATATTCCGCTTGTCATCTCATGAGGGGCTACCATCAGTTCAACTCACCTTTTTACAGCTGCTTCGTCTCACGGCCACTTTCCAAGCGACCGACCCACGAGACTCAATCTTTGCTTTACTAGGAATTCAGACTAAAGATCATCATCCACAAAACTCTCCTTTATTTCTAGCGGATTATACCCTAGACACCGAAACACTGTTCCGGAAAGTTGCAGAGAAGTTTATGGACCACCCGGAGCCATTAAAATTTCTTGTCAATACGGAGTCCTGGACCAAAACCGGCGCGACACGAAACAAAGAATACATAACAGATTCAAAACCTTCGTGGGTGCCTATATGGGGCAAAAATGCTGGTTTCATGCTGGCTCCGTGGTCGCTCCAGGATGGGTTCCATCCCGCTCGTGGCCTCGATTTTCAGCGTCAGATCACCGAAGACACCTCACACCTAGTAGTCAGAGGTATTGGAATCACAACAGTGCTCTGCCGAGAAGATGAAAACCTGCGCGACAGCGTTTGGGACTTACTGACTTGTGGAATGTTCAAAGTCGTCTCACTTGAGATTTTGGAGCTTTTCTCAAGAACGCTGACGTGCGGACGGAATGCTTACGGAGGTCGCGAAAGGGAGGTACATGCATTGCTGTCCCATTTTGCAGCATTTTTATGCGCAAATAAAGATACGAGTATCGACAAAATAGAGACTTCGAAGGCAAATGAACATCTCGATATTTCTGTCTTGAACGCCCTTGCTAAAGACGGCGATGCAAAAGCTTTTGAGGCCGTGGCAAGTAACGTCTGTCAGAATAGTCGGCTTTTTCTAACAGTGTCCGGTCATATTGGTCTTGGACCCCGTCAAATTGGCTCCGGGGATGTTATTTGTGTCCTCGGTGGTGCTGATATGCCTTTCGCGCTTCGAAGACAGGACGGATGTTATACTTTGGTTGGAGACTGTTATATTGATGATGTGATGGAAGGACAAGCGGTAGAAGCGATGAAGATGAAATGTTCACACCATGGAGCCTTTGATATTGAGAAGGTCATTGATTCTCGTCTTGCATCAGAATGGATTCCGGAGCAAGTCCGACCCCAAGTAGAGTTGGTTAGAGATGACTTGGTGGCCGCGGCTGCTAAAAAGTATTCTGTTTTGCAAGAAAGTTGGATTGAGATCTGCTAAACTGATAAAAGAGCTCAAAATTTCTGTTGGGAGTGGACAATGAAAGGATACACGATCGTTTTCAGGTCAGCAGAATGCTTATGCATCGAGGCGACTGTAACTTCTCATTTATCTTAAGATTTCCAAGAAATGAGACTTGATTTGGTAGCGATTGCTATTATTTCACTCGAAAACTGTAGCTAAGGTCAACAAGGTCAAACATCTTAATTAGACTTAGCCATGAGATTACTGGTCGCCGGAAGATTATACGAGGTGGACTGTGTTGTAAAGGCACTAGCAACAAGCTAAATGTTCATGGGTGACAACAACCTTCTTCACATTGATCATTATTCACCCAGAATATGCACCCCAACACACCGAAATTTCGAGTGAATAGAAGTTCGAATTCAGAAGGATATGGAATGTTTGCTCGTCATATGATGTGCAAACTGCTAGCACAACCTCAAAATTTTCAAGGTTGCCTGATATCAGACAAACATCCTCTGGGAGGACCATAAATTTCGTCCTCGCGATCACACACTTTCTGAGTCACAAAAATTATATTGTTGTTCAATTAAAATCTCGAATTGTCATATAAGAATAAGATTATCAAGTATAGGCGGAGATGGAATGTCCAGCTTGAAAATCGACGGTTTCCAAGGCCCTTTCTTCAAAACAAACAACATTCGACACGAGCTTCAAAATACCACCTCCACTCCCGCCAAAGCTCAGCCTCTGCGAAACGAGTGTACCACCCCTCATAGAACACGATCCGAATAATATTCAATGACAAACACAATTCCGCCCACGCTCCCTCCAAGACCCCGTCCACAAGTATATAATCCCCTTCCTACCTGCAAGCAGCTTCAATCACCTCCAACCATGGATATCAACCACTACGAACCAACCGCACCGTCCATTATTGATAGCGAGTCAACCCTCATCAAACAAGAAATCCCACCACTTCTTCCTCCAAGACCGCACTCAGACACCTCCAACAACATTCTTCCCACCTCCGAGCAGACGCAGTACGATCCAATCCTAGAACCTAAGCTCGATAAAACAACTGCACCATTGGTCATAGATTACGACCCAAGTCCGACCGAAAAAGTGAAGCCGCATCGGATCCGTCGAGGACCGGTTTCACAAGCTTTTTACAATGGCATTCCCAAGAATGAGCCATTCCAACCAGCTCCGAGTCCAATACTCGATTCTGCGCCGATGGCACCAACTGTTGCTCAGCAGCTTCACCATCGGACTCAGTCTACCCCAATGGCAGCAACAACAACGCAGCAGGGTCAATCTCGGAAGGCATCAATCCCAGGAGAACCGAAACCGCTAAATACAATACAGCTGAATCAACGACGGCGTTTTTCTACAGCCCACCCTCTTATTTTGCAACCGACTCATGCCGTACCCCGATCAGTTACGATGGCAGATATTCAGGCACCGTCAATTCCACGAAAGACACGCCAAAATTCAGTCGACATGGGTATGGCATCTCCAAATTATACTCCATATGCACCGCCAAAGTCGCAAAAAGCTGCTCTTATGCAAGGTCTAAAGTCCGCTCAACCTCTTCTGGTTGAAGCCGTATCAAGAGCATCCAACCGCGCTAGTCATCCGTCTTCATCAATCAACACGCCGCCCATGACTCGCCCTCCCACACCTGAGTATTCTAATTCCAGAACGATCACGCCGGATGTGTCTGCGACGCCACCTCTGTCGCGGTCAACATCTTATGCGTCGTTTGACACAGCATTGACAACTCCCATGGAAACGCAAACCGTATCTTCAGATAAGCCTCAAATCACCACCCCGACCATAACCTTTACGCCATCTACCGCTACCCTGATCCCGCCAAAGCACCTTACCATTCCAATCAGAATCCGCTTCAACCCATACGCCTCCATCAAACTCTCCAAAAACCAGTCCGCCTCCGCATCTAGCTGCAAACTACCAACAACCACTTACTCTCTTGGTCAATTCGTCTTCACGGTCCATGTGCCAGCGGAGTCAGGCGTTGATCTCTCGCTTCTAGCGCACAACATAGAAGATCGCTTGGCCGCTCATCTCAAGGCGTACGGTCGATCCTTTGCGGATGAGATGTATCAGGTTTCTGCAATTCAGGGAAGGGCAAGAAATGGGAACAAGAAGGCAAAGGATATGGCACCAGAAGTGCTCGCCGGAGAAGAAGGGACAGTTCAGATTTTGCAGACGATGGATTTCGAGAAGTGGGTGAGGGGATTGGATGTTGTTGTTTTTGGGAAGAAGGTTTATAGACCGAGATGTTGTGGGAAGTGTGGGGGGAAGTTTTGTTGTTAGGTTGGTTTGAGGGTTGGTGGGTTGCGTTTGATGGGGTGGTATAAGAGGATGGCAGGAAAAGAGTGAGAATTTTGGAAGCTTGTATAATTGATGTAAAGTTTTCAAAAGATAAAATAAAAATTTAGGATAGAATTTAAAACAGTATTTTTAGAAATGGTGTACTTGCTTTCCTTGAGCTGAGAGTTTCCTTACATCCCAAAGAACTTAGCCTGCTGCCAGCTGGTGTATAGAAGATACTATTCGTAACAATCCAACATCTGATGCATCTTCTTGATAGAAGAAACGATGTCAAGACAACGTAGAAATGTGGCCCCTCAAACCACATCTCCAGCACAAACAGAGATGTCGTCTGATTAAACCGATTTCCTCGGTTAGATCTAAAAGCCGGCACGGGCCAGGACGAGCAGGCGGCGCACGGCTACTAACAGTTACTAATCGTCTGCCCACACGGGGAAGTGTCGACCACAAATTGGTATTGTAACCTTATGGTGTCCATCGGACCATTGATCCATGCTCTTTTGTACCACTTCTTCCACAAAGACCATGATGAGGTATTTCTTATGTGTGCCGCAATAACTTAGATTAATTAATGGAATCAATATAAGTAGAGGTAATAGACAATACTTTCTCCAAGAAATTATGTCATTGTAATTTCTCGGCAGTGGCTTGAAGCGACTGGATCTTCTACAAGGATACGAGTGAAGAAAAAGCCCGCATCACAGCCTAAAAACCTAGAAACCATCGCACCAAGACCAGAAAGACTCACACGACCCTGCGCGCCTTCCTCTGTTATCTTTCGACTCAGCCTCGCCCACTCTCCGTCGAAGTCTATATCACCGTCCCCATGCGCTCTTGAACAGCCCACCGTTATGACTTCCATATGACCAAAACGCTATGTCGTCCTACATCGGTGTCCAGGTCCCAGATGAGCCAATCGGCAGCGGAGATGATGAGGGAGCACACGACCAGGACTATCTGCAGGAGTACAGGTTCGATCAAGCTCCAAGACCGGTGACAACGAGATCCAGACGCGGGGATGCTTCAACGCTTCTGGCCCTCTTGGGAGAACCCGAGACAGAAGATGAGAGTCCTGTGGCCGCTAGTTCTGCTGGTCCATTGCCAACCGTCACATTCGCTAGCCCAGGCGTGAGGACTGAACAGAGTCAAGCCGACACGACCTCCAATCAACCTCGTGCTGCAACGTCTTTGTCGCAGGAATATCGCGGCTCACCAGAGCAAGATAGGAGCAAACTGGGAGTGGAACGGCAACCTGGCGATCGGAGTCAATCTTTGCCATCTGTCGGAACGACAGCTAAAACTGACGACGGAACCAATTCTGGTGACAGGGCCGTGAATGTGGAGCAGCAGAGCACAGGTAAGACATTATTTGCATATTTGTTACAGGCCAAAATGTTCAGAATGCAAACAATGCAATGGTCGCGAATTGGTCTTGCTAAGAAATGGTACTAATGACATTGCCACAGTGACCCCATCACCGCAAATAAATATTCGACCAGGCCCAGAGCAACACATCTCCTTCAAATCCCCATTCACCCCAAATACTGCGAATACTGCACTACATCCAGCCGCTGCCGCTCCTCC